AAATAAAAATGACAAATGCATACAACAACATTTCAAAACTAAAACATTTAAATGAAAACAAAAAAATAAAGCTAAAAACAATTCAAACATACACAAATCAGAAAAAGTAATTTAAAACTAAAAGCTAAACGCTTTTAAGAAAATAAAAGAAATTAAATAAAAATGACAAGTGCATACATTTCAAAACTAAAACATTTAAATGAAAACAAAAAAATAAAGCTAAAAACAATTCAAAAATATTAAAAGAACAAAAGGTATGAGTATAATAATGATTCCAACATAACACTAAGCCAAACACCAAAAAAACAACTACTAAAACTTAAATAGATAACTAATACAAATCAAAGTACATTAGTTAATCAGTAATCCTAAAAAAATAACACTGAGGCAAACACACATGTTAAAATAACAACAACTTACTGACTCAGTAAGAAGCAGATTATAAAAAACTGAAACAGAAGTGGAAAGAGGAGAGATAAAAAGCGATACTTATGTCCTTTGCTGGTGTCCTGCCCGGTGGAGTCGCACGGTAGAGTCGATGGTCTTTACACTCTTTGGTCTTCACACGACCGCTTCCGCGGTAAACTAAGCTTCTTTTTCATTCGTTTAACAAAACTCAAATTGAATTCAGCTGGACGCACTTTCCTGTTTATCCCAACAAATGGCCAAGCAAAGCGCACGACACTGACAAGGTACGCGATACAGACGAAAACCAAAGTTAAACATTTTTTCTAATTAATATAAATGTTCTAATTAATATTAATATTACATTTATAAAAAATAAACAAATATTTTCTGTGAAATTCAGTAATTAATTTAATTCTGTAAAAGTAGTTTAATAATATTGCCTGCTGAAGAAAAAAACAATAGAACCCCTCCCAAAACACAATAACAAATTTAATGGATTTCAGGGTTATAATAGGAATTGTATTAATTTTAATGTAAACTATAATGGTGTCTATTTGATGGATTCTATTGGTGGGATGTAATCTGGCAGATGGCAACCAATAGAACAACAGTAATTCCTATTGGAATAATGCCCAAAACAAAAAGGAATTTTGTAATGGTTTAATGGAAACTATAAGAATTTCTGTGATGGTTTCTGTTGTTTTTTTCAGCAGGGTAATGATACCCATATTGTGCTGCACATTATTGATAATATTGAGCTGAAGCTTGACTTTGCAAATTTAAAATCGCAAATCAAATCGCAATATGTCAAAAAAAATTGCAATTTGATATTTTCCCCCAAATCACACAGCCCTAGTTTGTAGTAGTCAAAAGTACCAGTACTTCGGTACTAAGTCAATACTGAATTTTTAAAAAATGTAATGATAGACATTCTATAGGACTGGTGACACGTGTGAACACTCCGATCAATCAGACGTTAGAGAGTTAGAGAGTGTGCTTTCATTATGACCATGTAAATAATAGATTAATTGTGCAGTGTAGATATATTTATTGATTATAATGGGAGTTTTGGCAAGAGTGCAAACTATTTAAATGTGGGACTGAATCCGAAATTGCAATGATTGTCTCCGTGATAACCATAGCAGTGGATGGGACAAACAAAAAATCTGATATGCCAAAATAGATCTTGTAAGATTTGCCACTTGTTCTATACAATACATTTCTTTGTTTTTAATTGTATTACTTTTCACTTGACCTTTTTAAAGCAATGTTTACTCGATTGAAAAATATTTTAAGGGTACATGCTACAAATAGTTTTTGCTATGGTACCAAAAACTGTGAAATTTACTGTGGTATAGGGCTGTGCAATTAATCGCATGCGATTGTCATGCGCATCTCGTCAGGAAAGCCGGTTCTGTGATTAGTAGTAAATCTCCATCACCTGCATTCAGATTGAGCGGCATTCACTACACAGAGCCGTAGTTCAGACAATTAGACAATATCGCGTTCATAATCACAGATTAATCACATTCGATTATGAACGCGATATTGCCTAGCTTGTCAGTGAACTACAGCTCTGTGTAGTAAATGCCGCTCCATCTGAAAGCAGGTAATGGCGATTTACTACCGATCACTGAACCGGCTTTAGTGATGAGATGCGCTTGACAATCGCATGTGATTAATTGCACAGCCCTACTGTGGTATTAATACCGACTGCTGAAATGTTGGTACTGTGACAACACTAGTTTGTAGTATTGGGAATGTAACAAATTGTAAATTCAATATTGTGAATTTAAAATCTAAAGAGAAGTCTGGAATTTTGAATCTAATTAACATGACTTTCTTTTTCTTCTTTGAAACTTTTCTTTATGCCTTTTTGATGTTTTTTATAAAAAATTTTAGTACATTATTCGGGTTGTTAACATACCTTTCATTGTCACAGTCTTTACTGGATGAGCCAAACCCAAACAGCCCTGCCAACAGCCAGGCAGCTCAGCTGTATCAGGAAAACAAGAGAGAGTATGAGAAGCGTGTGTCGGCCATTGTGGAACAGAGCTGGCGTGACTGTTGACCCTCCTTACAGTTCACATACGAACAATAGTCCGCCTTGCCAACAAGAGGAAAACCACCTTGCAAAGAAATAAAATAAAACACATCATGTTTTGAATCATTCTCCATGTACTCGGTAGAATTGTCTGTTCTGTAGCTGTTGCAAGATTAGAGTGCTGTTGTGTTGTGGTCTCTCTCTTCATGCAGAACCTTACCCTGGATAAGGATAAACCTTAGTTTTACAAAATATTGTTGCTAGGGTTACTTGCTTTTATTTGGCCTGCCCTCATTTTTGAGTTGCTCCTACACTGTGGGCTGATTTCATTTTGGGTATTAACATGTTGGTTGAGAGTGATTTCTTTGCGTCTCTGCAAAAGTGTCATACCGAATGTCGCTTAATGTGTCTTTCAGAGTTCCAAATTAAACTGCAAGAACATTAAAGATGGATGATATATTGTCTTGTACGGAAAGCTTAGATGTTTCAGAAACATGCCTTTATAACTGCACTTGGAAAACCTGACCTTTTAAAACCAGCTTGAAAATTGTAATGTACCAGATGTTGGAATTGGCCCTTTTTTATCAAGTGCAAGTGCTTTGTTCTTTTAATTAAGCAGTTCACGTGTTGCCTATTGACACTGTGTGCCAGTTTGTCAGCAGTAATTGTTCGAAGGTACACCGTGATCTGTCTGTCCCACAAAGCCCCATGCCTAAGGCCTGGGAGTCAGAATATTACAAATTGGCATAGAGTGTATTGCTTCTCCCTCCTTCCCTGTATTCATTATTTTGTGTCTTGCACCCCAGATGCATTGTTATTTTGCTTGTTTTCTTAAGTTCCATTAAAGTGCCGTTTATTTTTACATTAAATTGCTTCTCCAAACATATGGATGTGATGCTGTCATGCAGTATCCATTTAAGATAATCTTCATTTTTTCCCTAATTTACCAAGTGTGTCGGATTTGCACTAGTAACCCATGTAAGAAACTGTACATTTTCTCATAATTCTGTAAAAGTAGTTTAATAATATTGCCTGCTGAAGAAAAAAACAATAGAACCCCTCCCAAAACACAATAACAAATTTAATGGATTTCAGGGTTATAATAGGAATTGTATTAATTTTAATGTAAACTATAATGGTGTCTATTTGATGGATTCTATTGGTGGGATGTAATCTGGCAGATGGCAACCAATAGAACAACAGTAATTCCTATTGGAATAATGCCCAAAACAAAAAGGAATTTTGTAATGGTTTAATGGAAACTATAAGAATTTCTGTGATGGTTTCTGTTGTTTTTTTCAGCAGGGTAATGATACCCATATTGTGCTGCACATTATTGATAATATTGAGCTGAAGCTTGACTTTGCAAATTTAAAATCGCAAATCAAATCGCAATATGTCAAAAAAAATTGCAATTTGATATTTTCCCCCAAATCACACAGCCCTAGTTTGTAGTAGTCAAAAGTACCAGTACTTCGGTACTAAGTCAATACTGAATTTTTAAAAAATGTAATGATAGACATTCTATAGGACTGGTGACACGTGTGAACACTCCGATCAATCAGACGTTAGAGAGTTAGAGAGTGTGCTTTCATTATGACCATGTAAATAATAGATTAATTGTGCAGTGTAGATATATTTATTGATTATAATGGGAGTTTTGGCAAGAGTGCAAACTATTTAAATGTGGGACTGAATCCGAAATTGCAATGATTGTCTCCGTGATAACCATAGCAGTGGATGGGACAAACAAAAAATCTGATATGCCAAAATAGATCTTGTAAGATTTGCCACTTGTTCTATACAATACATTTCTTTGTTTTTAATTGTATTACTTTTCACTTGACCTTTTTAAAGCAATGTTTACTCGATTGAAAAATATTTTAAGGGTACATGCTACAAATAGTTTTTGCTATGGTACCAAAAACTGTGAAATTTACTGTGGTATAGGGCTGTGCAATTAATCGCATGCGATTGTCATGCGCATCTCGTCAGGAAAGCCGGTTCTGTGATTAGTAGTAAATCTCCATCACCTGCATTCAGATTGAGCGGCATTCACTACACAGAGCCGTAGTTCAGACAATTAGACAATATCGCGTTCATAATCACAGATTAATCACATTCGATTATGAACGCGATATTGCCTAGCTTGTCAGTGAACTACAGCTCTGTGTAGTAAATGCCGCTCCATCTGAAAGCAGGTAATGGCGATTTACTACCGATCACTGAACCGGCTTTAGTGATGAGATGCGCTTGACAATCGCATGTGATTAATTGCACAGCCCTACTGTGGTATTAATACCGACTGCTGAAATGTTGGTACTGTGACAACACTAGTTTGTAGTATTGGGAATGTAACAAATTGTAAATTCAATATTGTGAATTTAAAATCTAAAGAGAAGTCTGGAATTTTGAATCTAATTAACATGACTTTCTTTTTCTTCTTTGAAACTTTTCTTTATGCCTTTTTGATGTTTTTTATAAAAAATTTTAGTACATTATTCGGGTTGTTAACATACCTTTCATTGTCACAGTCTTTACTGGATGAGCCAAACCCAAACAGCCCTGCCAACAGCCAGGCAGCTCAGCTGTATCAGGAAAACAAGAGAGAGTATGAGAAGCGTGTGTCGGCCATTGTGGAACAGAGCTGGCGTGACTGTTGACCCTCCTTACAGTTCACATACGAACAATAGTCCGCCTTGCCAACAAGAGGAAAACCACCTTGCAAAGAAATAAAATAAAACACATCATGTTTTGAATCATTCTCCATGTACTCGGTAGAATTGTCTGTTCTGTAGCTGTTGCAAGATTAGAGTGCTGTTGTGTTGTGGTCTCTCTCTTCATGCAGAACCTTACCCTGGATAAGGATAAACCTTAGTTTTACAAAATATTGTTGCTAGGGTTACTTGCTTTTATTTGGCCTGCCCTCATTTTTGAGTTGCTCCTACACTGTGGGCTGATTTCATTTTGGGTATTAACATGTTGGTTGCTGTTTTCAGTATGAATCCCAAGTTTTGAATCCAGAGATTGATTTCTTTGAGTCTCTGCAAAAGTGTCATACTGAATGCCACTTAATGTGTCGTTCAGAGTTCCAAATGAAACTGCAAGGACATTAAAGATGGATGTTGGTTAGCATATATATTGTCTTTTATGGAAAGCTTACATGTTTCAGAAACATGCCTTTATAACGGCACTTGGAAAACCAGTTTGAAAAGTGTAATGTACCAAATGTTGGAAATGGCCCTTTTTAATCAAGTTCAAGTGATTTGTTCTTTTAATTAAGTGGTTCATACTGTTTAAGGTGTTGCCTATTGACACTGTGTAGTTGTTTGAAGGCACACAGTGATCTGTCTGTCCCACAACGCCCCATGCCTGAGGCCTGGGATTCAGAATATTACAAATTGGCATAGTTGAGTGCGTGTTGCTTTTCTTTTTTCTGTATTCACTATTTTGTGTCTGTTGCACCCTAGATGCATGGTTATTTTGCTCGTTTTCTTAAGTTCCATTAAAGTGCCGTTTATTTTCACATTAAATTGCTTCTCCAACCATATGGATGTGATGCTGTCATGCAGTATCCATTTAAGATAATCTTCATTTTTTCCCTAATTTACCAAGTGTGTCGGATTTGCACTAGTAACCCATGTAAGAAACTGTACATTTTCTCACTTCTTGTAAATAAACAGTAAAATTAACTCTATAGTGTTTGTTCTTGAACAAAGATAAGCATTTACATTTCATTAAATGAACTAGGAAATGGACAATGACCAAACTAAATTTAATGTCATTACAAGCAGACTGGTTGACAGTATTCGCAATGGCAAACAACGTCACAGGGATTGCTGCTTAGGCATTTGCCAGACAGGGAGTTGAAAGATTTAAGGTTGAGATAAATATTTAATTCTACAATCAACAACCAGAAAATGACAAAAAATATACCGTTTTGTAATTACTTAAAGATTATTTTCATATTTCAAGTGTTTATCTTACAACAGATGAATGACACAGAGTGAATGATATATTGTCCATTGTGAAAATGTAAAATGGAATGTCATTTCAGAGAGGAGCACATGCTGCCAAAAGGCCCCACTAATATCCATGTGATATGACAAATTTAGTTAGTGATGTGTGTTCATCATATGGTCTCAAACTAACCAACAGCAAATCTGGACGAACTGTACAGAAATGCATGGTAAAGAGTGGCGAAGGATACACACTGTTGTCATTGAGAACTGACAGATTTTCCAGGCTTCAGTCCACCTTCGGTTTTTAAAAAAAATAGTTTACACTTTTTGGAAACAAATTAACAGAAGTAACAAGTAAAACCGCTTTGCTTTTATTAATGGTCATCTGTTGGTTTCTCAGAGGCCTGTTGAGCCTAGTCATTGTGAAGCCTGAGGTTTCACCAGTTCATATCGTCCCACCTGCCCCTCTTGCAGTAGCTGACCAATCAGCTGTTCCTTCTGAACTCTGCGGCTAACCACGAGGAAGCGCTGTCGACCCTGTCCGTATGATTTGCTGCGCAGCCCGTATCTTTGGGATACTTGGTGTATCTGCCGGCGCTCTTCATTGTTGAGCTCTGTGGAGAAGCGCAGGTCATCTTGACGGTCAGAACTGGCATAATTCCGAATTATTTCCTCAATATCGCGCTTAGTCAGCTGATTACTGTGCCTGTCCATGTCCATACCGAGTCCTTCCCTGGTAAACTGCTCTTTGACCTTGATGGGCTCAGCAATGCCCTCTCCTTCTCTTCCCAAACCACCACCTGTCCAGCCCATCTTCCGGAGTAGCTGGTTACCAATGTTGTCCTCCTTGATCTCCTGCCGCATGGATTCCTCGTCAGAACGAGCCATGATTTGATTTCGGGAAATTGCATCCACGTGGCCCTCCTTCCTGAGGTTGGACTTCACCACAGCTTGTGTGCGCCGAAGTGTGGCGAGGGCCTCCTCTGCTGCAATGTGCTTCACTGTCTTTTTGGGTCCAAGGCCTGCAGCCACATACTGACCGTCGAGGTAAACTTCACACCGCCAGCGATGGTCCGGCAGAACCGTGAACTTGTAGTCAGCAAGCACTTTATTAAATTGAGCAGTGTCATTTATTATGCAAATAGCGTTATCGGAGTTTTCAAGGATGACCAATTCACCTAGCTGCGCTTTCTTGTTGCTTTGCTGGGCGTAGCGAATACCAGGCTGGTCTGAAGTGTGGTTCCCTCCAGAAAAATTCTGCTGCTGTTGTTGCTCTTGTTGACGAGCAGCCTGGTTCATTCGCAACTTCCTTACCGCCTCCTCCGCCGCTGCGTGTTTTGAGCTCTTCTTGGTCCCTCTGGCTTGCGCCACCAGCTCATCCTGTAAGTACACACTACAGAGCCATAAATTGCTGTTGGGAACCGGGTCAAAAGTATAATCAACTTTCATGCGGTTGAACGCAGCCGAGTTGTTAAGCATACAGATGGCATCGTGTGCGTTCTCCATGATTACAAATTCTGTCCAGTGTTTGCTTTGGTCAGGCTCATACTGGCCCTTGGTACTAGGGGGAGGCTTGTCCTCAGGGTTGCGAAGAGGTGGGGGAAGGATTGGGTTTGCAGTGTTTACCTGGCACACCACCATGTCATTAATGTAAGTACGCTTGTACTGCCGTTGCAGGACACGAATTTCCACCGGCCTCATGAACAGTTTGACGGCCTGTTCTGATGCTCGGTCTCTGGCACCGTTTTTGCTCCCAGAGTACCCAGTGGCAAGGTACACAGACTGACACCTCAGTTCACATGCATATCCTTCAGAGGGTACTTTTCTGTTTTTAGGAAGGTCGGCGGGTGGAATATCTCTTAAATTAACATAGATGTACTCTGGGTTTGTCTTGCAAGCCTGAATGCTGCGGCTGAGCATGAAATTGTAGTTTGGCGTGTCGGGTCCACTCATGAACGCAGGATCTCTCAGGGTAACGGCAACGGCCGATGATACTCTGGTAATCAGCCTCTGTTTTTCATCAGTTGTTGATGTGGGGATAGAAGACGGCAGTGAAGGTGTTGGGAGAAGGCCAGAGCTGCCTCTGCTTGGACCGTCGTATACCCTGCTGAAAGCCTTGCTGGAGGTCGGCCTATCCTGATGTCCAAATCCCAGTCCACGCCATCCGCTATCCCAGGCTCCAGACTGTCCAGAACCTCCGTATCCATCAGCTCGGCCTGCCTGTGAGTATGAGTCCGATTGTCTGGCAGTATGCGCCTCATATCTAGCGGTGTACTCCTGCTGCACTTTGCCCATGAAATTCGGGGTGGACCCTCTGCTGCCATAGCCAAGCCCACTTGTGCTGGTCGAGGCCACATCCTTACTTTTGTGCTCAGGACAAGAATCATAACCGTACCTCCCGGTCTCAAGGGAGCCCAAGGAGAAAGAGGAGCTGTTGCCACGGTTACCGTTATATGGCGGATGATCTGGTTCCCTTTGTCTTACGTCATTCATCTCACTCCTCCTGCGCTCCTTCTCGTTTTCTTTTTCATCCGTTTCTCCGATTCCACTGCCGCTGCTTCCACCACTTACAAAGTGTACCGGTTCAAATCGAGGTCTGGATGTGAATTTTGACACAGGCATCTTCTTCATGGGCTCTTCACCTGAGATATGAAAGAATACATGATTAAAATACCCATTTGCATGCAAATATGATTACTTATAATTTAGTTTATAATTTAGTTTAGACGGATTTCAAGAATTTATAGACTTACTTCCATTAGATGAATATGGCCTCTTTTTTGCTTCAGCGTTTGGAACTAGTTCATACGAGGGCATTTCGCCAACATCAATCCCTTCTGCCATCTCTAGCACCTTGTGCATCAGTTGGGAGCCATAGCTGGCCCAAGAAAGAACAGCCATAATGTTGACGACATGCTTTGGTAGGCATTACTTATGGGTGATTCTATAATTGGAGATACATTTGGCATTGCAGAAAGTTAAGAAAAAAAAAGTTTTCACTAACAGATTTTTTTTCAGTATCTTATTGAAAACGTATTTCATTTTAATAATTCAGTGTTTGCCAAACACAAATTACTTCCTTTTTTTTTTTTTTACTTTTAATGAAAAAACATTTCTTTATGGTATTGTTTGTCAACTCTGTTACAGACAAATTAGCCAATGTGTAGAAATAACAATAAATCACAACAGGAAAAATCCTTCTTGTTTCATTAGACAAACAGTCCTTACATTCCATCACTTGAAACTGAGATAATATTTCACCTATGCATACCTTAAAAATAAAAAAAAATACCTATGTCTTCACAGAACCGTCCACTTGGAGCAAATATTTTTAATCTGAAAATGTATTGTATACAATATCCAGTAAAAAAAAAGAGATGTTGTTGAAATATTATAAGGGCGCACAAATAAATTAATGTTTATTAGATTTTTAATAACAATTTTATTGTTTTTTGTGAAAATAGTTCATAAACAGAGTTGACCCTTTAAGTAACAGAATTGTCCGATGGACTGTCAATTCTGTTACCGCACTGTCAGCATTGTTACTCTACCTTGGTAACAGAGTTTGACAAACAGAATTGACAATTTTCTTTATTTTTTGCCCAAAACTCCACTTGCTAGCATAAATGCTAAGAGCACATGGCACTAATGAAATCATGAAAAATGAAAAAAAAAGTGTGAAAAATGAAAAAAAAATCTGTTTTCCTTTTGATATTGTGGTAACTGATTTGACACTTTATAAAATAACTCTTGGTGTAAGAACTTTTTAGAATAAAATATTTTCTTAGAGAGAGCACAGACTTTTCAGTGCTTCAGATCTTAACAGTGAGGGAAAGTGACAATTTCCTGTATCTTACATAGTTGTGGGAGATAATTGCACTAATTTAAAGGCAAAGTATGGTACGGTAACAGAGTTGACGCAAGTTTTACGGACACACATTTTTATAAGAATTTTTATTTTTTTTTTTTTTAATTAAGTTGTAGAATTAGGTAAATAACTCTTTAGGGCTTTTATAAATAAAATGAATGAAATACTGCAACAAAAAAAAAAGGACAATAAAATATTTTGATTACACAATGATACATAATGGAAAAAATGCACTGACTAATTCAGACAACAAGAAATCATGATTTTCAGCTATTTAAGACACTTTTTGCAAAAAAATATGATATTGTTATGGACTGTAACATCTTGTAATTCATAACAATGAGTAACACCGTATTAAAATAATTAAAAATATAACCATTTGAAAAAAAAATAGACTTCGGACACCAAATGTACCTGCAATTATAGAATCACTCACATGTATAACTTTGCAATTAAAATGGTCTGTATAAATATGACATAAAATAAACTTGACCAGGACTTCTGTGATATAAGTATTCACCCGAACTCCCACCAAAAACAGTTAAACATCCCATTCAATCCAATCCCCACCTGCATCCCATGAAAACATGGTTAACCCAGACCATCGACAGGGCCAGTAGCTTATCAAGAGCATTTCCCTCGAACTCTTCAATGTGTTTCACAATGAACTGACGTCTAGCGGACCACTGCTTGTCACTCTCGTTCTGCTGCCGGTAATCATCGATATTACAGTTCCAATACCGAAGACCAGCGGGTTTACTTGAAACACACGGGCCCGGTGAATGAGGTCTGATCATCCCGGTGTTTGACGGTAGCCAGCAGCTAACAACGTAGTGCGCGCAGTGCATGCTGGGAACTTCACACGGCCCAATTATATTATGATACACCAATGCAGAACAGAATATGTGTTCTGATCTGTTGGAATCCGGAGTCTCATATTTACCTTTAAAGTAGATTCTTGGAAAATAAGGAATATGAACAACAAAGGTTGTACTAAGTTTTTTACTCCACACTGGTCTTTATTTGAGGATTTAATCTATGAGATGGAGTTCTTCAGATGAACTGAGGAGGGCAGCAATACGCCTTTGAAGCGTCTAAGCTGCCGCAAATCACAGAAGAAGAAGAAGAAGAAGAAGAAGAAGAAGAAGAAGAAGAAGAAGAAGAAGAACTATGTATATTATAGTGGGTGTAATTTTAGGATGATATATAAAAAAAAAAAAGATCCCCTGCTTCTATATAAAGTCATGATGAAGGATGAGGAAAGACTTTGATAGTGGTCCAATGTTTATTCATTTCCACCATCACCACAGACAGAAAAACAAATACAATTTAATAGGCCTACATATATGATAATACATTTATCGTAAGTTGTTCATTACTCTTTAATTTTTTACATTCACATACAAAAAGAAACTAAAACATTAATCTGAGCTCCCATGATAAAGGCAGAAGAAATAAACATGACATTTCAGTGTCACTGAGTAGTGTACCTTTTTAACATTATACAGCTAATTCCTTTTACACAGGTATTTGCAACAAGGAAGCATCTATAGTCTATGGTTCATGAAATGAAGTTGTTTGTAATCTGCATCTATTCCTGAGTGTCTCTCCTTCTGACTTGCTCCTCTCCGTCGCTGGCTGTAGAGTCTATTCAAGGTTGATATCAGTCCTGGATTTTAAAAAAAAGTTTCATTTTTGTTAAAGCCTCAGAGTCTAAGATTCAAAATGAAAACAAAAAGAAGTTTAACATTCTTTCTCAACATGGGAAAAAAAGTTTACATTGATACTTACACTTCTGCTCAATTTGAGAATGCACAAGGATGCAGTTAGAAAACAAGAAAATTATGCTCTTTAGAATGTTTCATAGCAGTACCACTTTATAAACAGGGTACAATTTGTATTACTTGAAATTTAAAATATGTTGTGGTCACAAATACAAAACTATCCTTGGAAAACTGGGCTGTATATACCTCACAAACACAAGCCCCCCTCATTTTAGATATAAAAGAACAGAAACCTCACCTGCTGGTTTAGGTGACATCAGAATCAAGGGGAGTTCAGCGGTAATATCACTGTGTACGGAAGATAAACATGTCTTGAGTACTTTCACTGTTCACAATGGTAAACCACATCACACCGTGTAATGCTGGATTTATTTTCATTGTTGGTTAATGACAAGGTAACTAAGCAGACGGTTCCTCGTTACGTATAGTTTGGAAATTATCACAGGAAAGATCTTCCTTAACACAGCAAAAGTCATTAGAGAAAGAAGGAGGTAAAATGCTCTCTATGACTCTTCACTGAGACATTGAGATGAAATGTAAAGATTCAAACCTTAATGTTAGGCTTCCCAAGAGACCACCTCCCATCATCAGGGTAACCTTAATTTTGTAGGAAACAACAAGGCCTTGTATTTGTTTATCCATGTTGGGTAGCAGACTGCAGAGAGATACAGAGATTCAGAAAAGTCACCTTGTTTATCTGCCTTGCATTTTTTATAAATAAAAGTTTTTTTATACACTCTTAAAAATAAAGGTGCTTCAAAAGGTTCTTCAAGCGATGCCATAGAAGAACCATTTTTGGTTCCACAAAGAACCATTCAGTCAAAGGTTCTTTAAAGAACCATCTCTTTCTTACCTTTTTGTAATCTGAAGAACCTTCTTTCACCACAAAGAACCTTTTGTGAAACAGAAAGGTTCTTCAGATGTTAAAGGTTCTTTATGGAACCTTTTAGACAAAAAGTTTCTTCTATGGCATCATGAAGCACCTTTATTTTTAAGAGTGTAGTGTATAAAAATACAGAGATGTTATATGGACTATGAGCATGAAAATCTAATCTAATACCGATGACTTTTATATTTTCCAACTACCAATTTAAGGATATACTCAAATGTTGTAATAACGATTAACTGACATTGTTGAAGAAGCCAAGTTGGTGTCTTCATCTTTCAGTTTGCCATCCAGTGAAAGACCACGTTTCTCTTTGTTATTGGCAAGCAGAGGAGTGACTCTATATTCCTTCTCGAAGGTGGAGTTCCCATTAATTTGATCCCTGTTACAAAAAGGGGTTTGTTCACCTCTCAAGAACAATCAAAAACAAACTATTTTTTTTAAAGATATGAAAAATGTGAACAATTATGATATTATTTGAGTATGATATTATTCAACATTATTTATTAAATGTGCTACAAAAAGAATACTAAAAATTCTCAGTCAAATTCACAAATGTGATGTGAAGTTCTGTGCACTCACGCAAATTCTTCATTCAGAACACATTTGTCGTATTTGTCCACTGAGTAAAGCAGTACATCTGTAATTTGGTGAACTGAAACATACAATGAGTTCAAGTTTATTGTGGATCATTGTGTGAAACACATACTTCTAGTTATAATCAATAATGAATCATTCTTAAAGGTGCTATGTACGATTTTTAACCATTAGATAGCTATTCACAAGGGAATACCGCATCTCAAACCAAAACAAACACGTGGTTTTCCTGTGAAACTGACCTTTGGGCTGGTTTTGTTACATAGACCTGGCAACACTGTCCAGTAGTGTGTTTTGTTTTGGGCCATATTCCATTAGGAATTAATGTTCTTAACATGCCACCAATAGAAGGCAACAAATTACCAATAGAGACCCAAAGGACCATTAAAGTTTCAATTAAATCCAATACAATTCCCCATTAAAACCCTTAAAAATTCTATAAAGGTTTCTGTTTTTTCTTAGCAGATAGGTTTTTGATGATTGGATATATGTATATATGACTTTTAAGTTGTTTAAATTGGTGAAAACTGGCTGTTTAGTTCTCTAATATGAATAATAAAAATACTTACTGCTGATTTTGATTTTCTTCACAACTTTACTGGTCTCATTATTCACTTTCACTTTGATAGGAATGGGATCTCCATGATAGTAGAGCTGAAGGGAGAGAAATCAACAGTGAATGAAGAGACATAGAACTGCAAATGATGAAAACATCACAATTTCATGAATTATCAACAACAGGCATTTAAAACACTGTACCTCTCTCTCCATGGAGGCCTCCACATGAATTGGTTTGTCTGCAGTGATAAACTGTTTGTTGAGATCGGTTTTGGGTCCTGCTGCTAGCTGATTTGGTGCATACTGGATTTTACGAATAATCAGACGGCAAGTGTCCCTATTATTGGTAGAAATATTGGAATCAGAATAAAAATGTATTCATTTTGATGGTGAGTATCTTTATGTTAAAATGAAGCAGTACATACTTCTTGTCAACTTTTTCATCGGTCTCGTCTTCTTCATTTGCAATATAGGCTTTGACTTCATAGTCAACTCCACAAGGCTGTAAAAGTAGATATGTTACATATTAGAGAATCATAGTTTTCTGTTTGTGAGTGTATTTGCACATATGCATGTTTTTCTGCTACTGTACCTTCCCGGCATCCTCTGGTGCTGGCTGAAGGGACACTGAGCATGGGAAATGTACTGGAATCTGAGACAGAACAGAAGAGACACCAATGAAGGACATCCTTG